GTCTTAAATGTCGTTCCTAATGGTCTTAAATGTCGTTCCTAATGGTCTTAAATGTCGTTCCTAATGGTCTTAAATGTCGTTCCTAATGGTCTTAAATGTCGTTCCTAATGGTCTTAAATATTGTTCCTAATGGTCTTAAACGTCGTTCCTAATGGTCTTAAATATTGTTCCTAATGGTCTTAAACGTCGTTCCCAACAGTCTTAAGTGTTGTTCCCAACGGTCTTAAATGTCGTTCCCAACGGTCTTAAATGTCGTTCCCAACGGTCTTAAATGTCGTTCCCAACGCTCTTAAATGTCGTTCCCAATGGTCTTAAATGTCGTTCCTAACGCTCCTAAATGTCGTTCCTAATGGTCTTAAATGTCGTTGCTAACGCTCTTAAATGTCGTTCACAACGCTCTTAAATGTCGTTCCTAATGGTCTTAAATGTCGTTCCTAATGGTCTTAAATATTGTTCCTAATGGTCTTAAACGTCGTTCCCAACAGTCTTAAGTGTTGTTCCCAGCGGTCTTAAATATCGTTCCTAATGGTCTTAAATGTCGTTCCTAACGCTCTTAAATGTCGTTCCTAAGGGTCTTAAATGTCGTTCCTAACGGTCTTAAGTGTCGTTCCTAACGCTCTTAAATATCGTTCCTAACGGTCTTAAGTGTCGTTCCCAACGGTCTTAAGTGTCGTTCCCAACGGTCTTAAATGTCGTTCCCAACGGTCTTAAGTGTCGTTCCTAACGGTCTTAAGTGTCGTTCCCAACGGTCTTAAATATCGTTCCTAATGGTCTTAAATATCGTTCCTAATGGTCTTAAATATCGTTCCTAATGGTCTTAAATATTGTTCCTAATGGTCTTAAAAAGTCTTATATCCTGTCCTGTGCTGTTTCTCTTCCTGTTTGTGTTCTGCAGGGATCCACAGAGGCAGGGAGGTACGCCTGCGCCCCCCTGCCTCCTTACCTGGAGGGGGAGGAGCCAAATGAAGAGGAGGAGGAGTCCAGCAGGCCGCTGTACGACCTGTGCTTCCACCTGCTGAAGCTCTACAGCGACAGGTAACCCTGCTCACCTGAGGTCTGACGGTGTCGTTAGGACAAAGTGACCCGGTCTCTGGTTCCTCCTGCAGACACTACAGTCTGCAGCAGCTGCTGGACCCGCTGACCGTCACCTGGAACCGCCTGGACTACAGGCTGAGCTGGCACCTGTGGGGGGTCCTGCAGGCTCTGAACTACAGCCACCTGAGCTCCTCCAGGCAGGGTCTGCTGCACACCAGCTACGCCTCACAGCTGGAGAGTGCTGGACTCTGGCACCTGTCTGTCTTCATCCTGCTGCACATCCCAGACCACAGGTACTGGTCCTGGTCCTCAGAGTCCCAGCTGTGTCCTCTGAGTCCCAGCTGTGTCCTCTGAGTCCCAGCTGTGTCCTCTGAGTCCCAGCTGGTCCTCAGAGTCCCAGCTGTGTCCTCTGAGTCCCAGCTGTGTTCTCAGAGTCCCAGCTGTGTTCTCAGAGTCCCAGCTGTGTTCTCAGAGTCCCAGCTGTGTTCTCAGAGTCCCAGCTGTGTTCTCAGAGTCCCAGCTGTGTCCTCTGAGTCCCAACTCTGTCCTCTGAGTCCCAGCTGTGTCCTCTGAGTCCCAACTCTGTCCTCTGAGTCCCAGCTGGTCCTCAGGGTCCCAGCTGGTCCTCAGGGTCCCAGCTGGTCCTCAGGGTCACAGCTGGTCCTCAGGGTCACAGCTGGTCCTCAGAGTCCCAGCTGTGTTCTCAGAGTCACAGCTGTGTCCTCAGAGTCACAGCTGGTCCTCAGAGTCCCAGCTGGTCCTCAGGGTCACAGCTGGTCCTCAGGGTCACAGCTGGTCCTCAGAGTCCCAGCTGTG